GAAGACACAGAAGATGTTGTCGAAGATGAGGATACTGATAATGACTACTTGCTAGTAAGAGACAGGTCGAGGAGAGTCATCAAGCCACCTCAAAGACTTGGGTATGCAGATCTTATAGCGTATGCCTTAATCTTTGCTAGTGAGGTTCTAGATGAAGAACCTAGAGACTCTAAGGAAGTTATGAGGAGTCGAAAGAAGACTGAATGGCTGAAGGCCATGGATGATGAGATGAAATCTCTTCATGATAATAACACCTGGGAATTAATCAAGAAACCTGCTGAAGCTGTGAAGGAAGCATTGTGGCTTAAAGGTTCTGCAAAGGAGCTAAAACTTCAAGATCGAGTTATCACTGTTAAATGTGATAGTCAAAGTGTAATACACCTGTCAAAGAATTCAACCTATCATGAGCGAACCAAACACATTGTTGTGAGGCTGCATTTCATCATAGGGGTAATCGAGCGTGGAGAAGTCCAAGTGCTGAAGGTTTTGACAGATCATAATGCTGGTGATATGATCACCAAGACGTTACCCAGTTGCAAGTTTTTCTATTGTATGCAGTTAATAAAGCTGCATGAAGAAAGCTATTTTCTTTATTTTATAGAGTTAGATCCAAGGTGGAAATTTGTGAGATGATGGATCGAACTCTAGTATGGTCTAAATCTGTTCGCGAGTAATGCGTGTTGTAGTTGAAGTTTGTTATAACATGCATTAGTCAATATTGCTAGGGTTGTTAGCATGTTGAATTGGGTCTTGCTTGTAAGCCCAATTGTTTAAGTTAGCTTGTAATGGGTAATTGTTAAAAAAACCCATTAGATTAGTGTGATATTTTTCTTATAAATAGGATGCTAGTTTCTCAATCTTGGCATAAGGAAAAATAGGAAGATAAAATCCTAATTTCAAGAGAAAGAGGTTAATATGTTATTATTGTATACTTGTAATCTTATTCCAAGAGAAAGGAAAGGATAGCAGTTTAATAACCAATCCTTGTTGTTCCTTATTGTTTTACCTTGTCTTCTTTGTTAACCCTAACCCTTGTGTGTTTCTTGATTATTAAGAAACTGTTTATACTTTGTTTCAAGGTATATGATTCACAACAGGTTTGGATAGTAATATTGTGAAAGAGAAGAACAAATTGTTATACTTGGAATCAATCTTATTCAAGATTATTCAAAGTGTGTATGTTGTGACTTAATCATAAAGTTTGTGGTGATAAGTTGTTGGAAAAAATGTTCTTTGAATTGGTCAAAGAAAGAAGTAAAGTGAAGCATCAACCTCAAGAAAGAAACTTAATTATTTTGATTGTGGAAGATTGAAACATGTTAAAACTGATGGTCCTACACTTCAAAGAAAAAATGACTTAAGTGGAAAGATTAACAAAAGGCTCAAAAAGGCATATGTGGCATGACAAGACAATGAAGTAATTTCATCTTCAAATGAAGAATAAGAACATCTATCTTTTATGGTTTCACATCACTCTGATGATGGTGAGATTAGTAATCACAAACCTTCTTATAATGAATTACATGATACTTTTAATAATTTTCATGATGAATATCTACATTTTTCTAGATTATGTACTAAGCAAAAAAAATTATTTCTTATTTAGAAAGTAAATCTAAAAGCATGCAAGACAAGATAGATAAATCAAAATTTGACATTCTAAGAAGTTATTTAACATGAAACAAATGTGCATTTCTTGAATCTAAAATTGTTGAATTAAATAAAGTGATATGCATTTATGAAAAAGGAAAAAAATGGATTAGATAATATTCTAAGCAACCAAAGATATGTTAATGATAAAAGTGGACTATGATATTATAAATTTAAAAATTCTAGTCAAATCAAAAAAACTTTCTTTGTCAAATTTAGGAGTGCATGTAAAAATGTTTAATCTATTAAAGTATGTTATAATGTACAACCTAGAAAGACATATAACAATAATTATTTCTATGATCATAAAAAATGCTTAAAATGACAAATGCTTGTTTCTATTGCAATTGTAAAGGTCATACCGCTAATTCATATTATGATATAAATTTTGATGTAGCTAGTGGTGATTATGCGTGAGTTGAGAAAGGAACTAACTCAAAAGGATCCATAGATTATTGGATAACTAGAAATAACTATTGATTTTCATTTGTAGGTGTGTTTGGAAAACAAATGCTAACATTGTATTATTAAGATTGGTTGTTCAAAAGCATAAGAAAACCATATGATATGGTAAGGTTAAAATTTTCATTTAGTTGAAAAGATTGACACTTTAAATTAGCATTGTGAAGAAGATAAATGTCTTAATATATGCTATTATACTTTTCATCTAATATATTCATCTATCATGATGTATTTTCCCTTTATTACTTTCCTTTGGGTTTCTATTTCTTTTTCTTCTTTTTGATAATGTCAAAAGGGGGAGAAGAATGGTGGTTGTTTTTGTTCATTTTACTTAAGGATATCAAAGCTTGAATTGCAAAAGCAAATGAGAAGATATACAAAATAAGGGGAGTATCAAATGTCAAGCAAAAACTTCTCATCAATATATTTTTCCATCATAAAAAATAGGGAGATTATGAAAAAGATATTCATCTAAGTTAGTTTTGATGAAGACAAAGTTTATCAAAGAAGAAAAAGTCTAAGAGGTTGATGAAATGTTTTAATCAATAATGAAGCAAATCAAAAAGGTTGAACATTCATGAAATATTCAAGTAAAGAATCAAGATGATTGATTATGATTAAACTTCATGACAATTCATGATATAATACTCCAAATGCTTATAAATTCATGAATACTTCATCTAAAACCTTCTTATATCTTTATGCATGAAAACACTTGAAACCTAGCCATAAAAAAATGAAAATTTCAATTTTGGATTGATCATAATCAATTGTAGCATAGTAGTAACCGATTACGAGTATTCAAATTTAAAAATTTCAAAAATGTTGCAAGTCGTAATTGATTACTGCAAAGTCGTAATCGATTATGAATTCAAAAGGTGCACATTTTCAAAACATAATTGATGTAAAATGATGCAAGGTTTCATGGATCAATTTAAAACTCATATATCATCATAAAAAGATGTATAAGGATGTATAAAAAGGAATATACATCATAAATACAAAGTACCGCTTTGTTGAAATTATTTTTAATCAATTCAAACATATTTTCTAAAATGTTCATATATTTTTAAGAACTGAAACTTTGTGCATAACCTTCAAATCATTCAAAAAATTCATACAATATTATGGACACTTGACGTATATTAATTTGGATTGTAATATTGTGAAAGAGAGGAATAAATTGTTATACTTGAAATCAAACCAAGATCAACCTTATTTAAGATTATTCAAAGTGTGTGTTATGACTTAACCATCAAGTTTGTTGTGATATGTTGTTGGAAAAATGTTCTTTGAATTGGAGTGATTCAAAGTCCACCATAGTATTTGGTGTTGGTAAAAAAGGTTCTTTGAATTTGGGTGATTCAAGGTCCATCTTAGGTTTTGATGTTTGTTGTATAATCAAGGAAGCGTTGTTCTTTCTTGTGTATATATATGTTAGAAGAGTGTAAAAAGGGCCTTGGTGTAAAATTTGTACAAAGATCTAAATATAATGCAACGTTCATTAAGGATTATAGGGACTAGCAATACCATTGGTTATAAGGGAACTAGTATAATTGCATTGTGTTATTTACTTTTATACATTTTGCTTTATGTCCTTTAAAATCATCCTAAGAACATATCACATTCATAACTTCTAGAAAAATAACAAATTAAGAATTGTTGCACAAAAAAGAGAAAAATCAGACAATCCTAATTCACCTCATTTTATTAGACTGCATCTCATACTTACATTTTATATCTATTTTTGAAAAAACCGGTATAAAAGCATACTTTTTTTCTTTCAAAATATATGATTTTATAAGGATATTTTAAAAAATTCCAATAAAAAATCTTATTTTTTATACCTGATTTTTCAAATATTTGGTATAAAAATCATAGATTTTTTAAATTAAATTATGATTTTATAAGATTTTTTCAAATAGTTAAAAAAATTATAAAATATATCCTATTTAAAAAAATGATAGTATTAGCTTCTTTTTTTTATAGTCTATCAGAAATGAACTACTATTTCTTTAAATCTAGAAATTAAAAAAAATTGATTTTTTTTTAAAATACCGATTAAAAGATATAATGAATTTTTTGATTGGCTTGTCAGATTTTTCATTCGAGAAAGAAAATTTTCCAACATTTTATTAATGAAAAAATATGCAAAATATTTTTGGTATTACGAAAAAATATGACAGTGAGTTAAGGTTTTGTTTTAGAGTTTGGAGGAAAAGGAAGGAGGATTTTGAAAAATAATTCTTTTAAATATAGAAATTTTTTTAATAATTAAAATAAAATATTTTTTAAAAATCATAAAATAATACTTATTATTATTATATTTTTAATTTTTTAAAATACTACAACAATAAAATAATATTTAAATAATTTATCTAATTCCTCAAAAACCATCTAAAACTTTCATTCAATATAAATTTTGAATTCTTCAAATTAAAAAAAAAAATTAATGTTGTAAATAAACACAAACCCTTTAAAACTCTGCCAACAAAAAAATCCCTCAATTCTTTCATTCGATCTTTTATATTTTTCATAATCCTTCTTTCCTTCCCTTCCAAACTCTCAAAGGCTAAGTGTTAAAAGAAAAAAAAATCTCCTTTGATTCTCATAGAGACCTTATAAAAATATAAAGTTTAGTTTGAACATATCCTAAGTCTAATCAACATTTGTTCTACCAAACACTTGTGACTAACATAAATTCCTTAATTTACAATTCTTTTGTCAAATATATAATAGTATATATACTAATTTAGACAAAATTTCAAGCTGCCACTAATAGACGACATGATCTACAAACAACCCACCTACTGGCCTACCACCTTAAACAAAATCACAATATTCTTTTTCTTCTTTCTTATTTTTCGAATAACAAAAGAATCTTCACATCAATTGTTATTTCCTCTGTTATTTCTCCCAAGAAGTCCCTCCATGATCACTCTTTTCTTATACTCCTCAGAATCCAAATCCACATCGTTTTTCAACTTCGTTTTATCTTCTTCCTCGTCGTTTACATTTACAACACCGCTCTTTCTAAAACGCGGTATAAAATACAACCACGCAGAAGTACAAAGAATGGCACAAAAACGACCCCAAAATATCATTATAACTAATGTCACAACGAGTACGGACATTCCAACTATAGGATCGTACCAACCCCGTGCGTTTTGGCGGTTCTTTCTTGTCGTTTGGTTCGGCGTTGCCAACGACAGCCTCCGCTCTTGTCGTTTTGGTCGTGTTGGAGTTGATCTACCTTGTTCGCGCGTGTCTTCTGTTATTGCGTTGTTTTTTGGACCATGCCTTGTCTGAACCAAACATTAACAAACAAATTAAATAACCTTAAAAACATGGATAAAAACAAATGTACTATCAAAATTATTATTTAATAAATTCTTTTTAAAAATAATATAGAAAAAAAGATATAATCATCTTTCTAAAAATGACACAAAATTTAAAATTTAAGAGGACTACATAGATGCATACCTGTGTGGGTGAATGATAAGGGGTGGTTGGCCGGAGCACCGTAGACGGCAGAGCTAACGGTGGAGAATTGGTGGGTGGAGTTTTAGATTTATGATGAAGAGTTGATGACTTTGACCGAGGCTTTGAATAGGTCTTAACATTTGTGAATGAGGTTTCAAGTGGCACTGTTTTGGAGGTTGACTTTGTTTTGATTCGAATCCATCTCCATGAAAACCAGCTACTTCTCTTTGTCTTTGGAGTTTGATTAGACTCATTAACGGTTGAAGAATCATTTGATCGAAAGCAACATAGGAAAAAAGTAGAGGTTTTGGATTTTGATGATTTGGTTTTAGCCATGGAAAAAGCTAGAGAAGGTGAGAGAGATGAACAATATTAATACTAGCTAGCGAGGAAGAAATGAGAGATGAACATGATTTTTGAGAGCGTGGAATTATGAATGGTTTAGTTTTTGAAGGTGATGAAAGCATGGTTGATTATAATATTTGAGAGGTAGGGTATGGGAAATTGTTTAAATAATTTTTTTTTACATAGAATGTGATGATTTAATTGTTTTGATGCATATTATGGTTTATGGAAGACTTGGACTTTGTCATTCTAGTCTAATTTTTCCTACACGTTTGCACCTTCATCACGTTTCGTATCTGATTTATTTGTTAAGTTACTCTCTACTTTCGCTATAATTTTTAATATCTATGGATTCTTTTCTAAGGTATTTCTAATTTACGTGCATGCCTCGTCGCATTGAACATGAGAGCTAAAGAAAAGCAAGTATAACAATATATTAATATATGATACTACTTATTACAAAACCTTCGTGAATGGAAGTAACAACAAGCAAATAAATGGGATGACTAGAAGATCTAAACACCGTATATTTATTTAAAATCTTAGTGTTGGGAATATTAATAAATATCATTCATACTTAAATATCAACATTAATGTTGAACAGTTTTTTAAAAATTAATAAAAGATATAATTGCAGTCTCTACACCATCATTTGAAATTTACTTTAAGGGAAGAAAATGTTATTGAATTTTATATTAGTTTAAGTTAATTGAATATATATATATATATATATATATATATATATATATATATATATATATAGATAGATAGATAGATAGATAGATAGATAGATAGATAGATAGATAGATAGATAGATAGATAGAGAGAGAGAGAGAGAGAGAGAGAGAGAGAGAGAGAGAGAGAGAGAGAGAGAGAGAGAGAGAGAGAGAGAGAGAGAGCATTACATTAACCTTGGATGATAATGCATCCAACACATTTATACAAGTATTACAAACTAATTGAGATCCAAAATAAACAACTACATAATGCAAAACTGGGGCCTATATCGGTTGCTACATTTGGTTAACCGATTACATATGACATGAAAAATTAACTACATTTAGTGGTAACCGATTACAACTTCAAATATTTGCCTCTTCTACAACTTCAAATATTTGCCTTTTCTATTACTTCAAAAGTGTTGTTTCCATTGCTGAAACTGGTTACACACCCGTGTTATCCAGTTACACACTCGTGTTATCTGGTTACATCACTTGAATTACTCAAAATGCTTTCAACACACCACCTCAATTCAAGTGCCCCAAGTCTTCCATGCTTATGCTCATCTTCAAATTCTTGAACACATCATTTGTGGCTCCCTTAGACAACAAATCAACCACTTTGTCTCCACTTCTGCAATATCCCAATCGTAACCTTCCTTTAATAAAAAATCCTCTCAATTAGTGAAACTTCATCTTAATATGCTTGCTCCTGCCATGTGCAATTGGATTCTTAGAAGGATTAATCGTGAAAACATTGTCAACTAGGAGTGTAACAAGCTCACCCTCACCGCTGCCCAGATCCTCCAATAGACTCATAAGGCACACGACTTGGCATGCACATAATGAAGCGGTAATATACTCGACCTCACAAGATGAGAGTCCAACTACCAGTTATTTATTCGAACACCATGAGATTGGTGTTCCACCAAACATAAAAATTGTTAGAACAAGATTTATTCGTAACATATATCCTTTGGTTTTCGATGATAACAAAGTATTAAAAGAAAAATTGTGTTATCTAATGTGTGTTCCAAGTATGCAGATTATAAAGCTTAAAGAGACTACTTTCAAAATTTGATACAAGGACACACTTGAGAGAAGTTAAGTTACCAACCTCTGGTGGTTCTTAATCTGAAGAACACTCTTTAAGTGATGTCTGCCGTTGACTCAGAAGCTAAAGGCTTCAGCATCTAAAGAGCAACATATTGTCTTTACACTTAGCAAATGTATCAGCTTCTGATGAACATTCAGAGTTAGTAATAAAGTTAAAGTTATCTGTACCGCAGAAAACAAGTTGCATTGTCAAATCAGCTTGTCAGCTAGAGTCTATGTTCACAAGGCTCAAGAAGAGTTGACATGCTTTACGAATACCTACTCTCAACGGATCTATAGTATAAGATTACATGAAAGACGCAATGTTTAAACATGTTACACAATGGGTTAAGATCTTTTGGTGTATCTATCTTCAACGTCTCTTGTATTATGGAAAAACAAAGATACTTGTTCAAGTTATCTCTTCCAACAGCTAGTCTTCTACAGCTGCTATATAAGTTGCTGAAGATTCAAACTAAATCTTCAACAAGGAATATGGAACAAGAAGCAATAGAGAAGGAAAGCCAAGAAGGATATGAGTGTTATACACTTCTATTTGGATGGAGGAATAACAAGATCAACAATAAGCAACACACTGAGTATGCATAAATTTTGTTATTTGTTGTAAATTGTACAAAGCCTTAAAATTTCTTAAACATTGAATATTTTAGAAATCTTAAATGCTTAAGGTCTTTGTTATGGTGATTACCATGTACCTCTGGTTTTGCTATGTGCTTGAGCACCAAAGTCTCTTGCTAAGAAGCTTGAGCCAAGTAAGTCTCCTGATATGTGCTAGTGTAACACCCCTTTTTATTTTAATTATTTTTTGGTAATAAAAATCATGTGATTGGTGTATATGTATGTGATTATGTGTGTTTTGTTGTATTTGGAGATACCTTTCATGCGGGGTAGCGACCTTAAGACTAGACCTTGAGAAAATGGTTGGGGTGTGTGACCAATTGCATAGAAATGGATTGTATGGTTAGTAACTAATTAGTAATATTGGTTAGTAATTATTTATTTGAATAATAGTAAGTGAATATTATTTAAATTAAATAATTAGTATTATTACTATTATTTGTTATTGTTTAATTAGATAATAATAATAATAATAATAATAATAATAATAATAATAATAATAATAATAATAATAATAATAATAATAATAATAATAATAATAATAATAATAATAATAATAATAAAAGGAACTAGAGAACAGGGAAGTTAGTTTTACAGCATACATGAAATAGAGAGCAAAAGGTGAAAGAGGCAAGAGGCAAGGTGATAAAGGGATGAGAGTGAAGGTTCCAATTCAGAATTTTAGAAGAAGTAAGGGTGAGAATTGGGTTTAATAATAGGGGTGTGGATTGAGGGGTAGATTAAAGTTTAATCTTCTTTGTGTTATGATGAATTGTTGATACAGTTATGATGATAATTTTGTTTTCATGTGCCATGATATGAATTGAAATTGTGTATGATGATATGTTATTGTTGTGTCCTTGAGATCGAATCCATGAAGATTGATAGAATATTGGGTGAATTAGAGCATGAATCTAAGTAGTTTAATCATGAGAGAAATTGATAGATTGATGTTAACTACCATGATATATGTGTTGTTCTTGTTAGACAACTTATAGAGATGATTTTGAATGAAATTGAGACTGGTTTAGAGGTTGAAGATGAGATTTGGGTGAAAATCCCGTAACATTGAAAAACTTGAATTTTTGGAAAATCCATCTAATATTTTGATCATAACTTTTGATCCGTATATCCAAAAAAAAGCCCTGTTTGAAGCGTTAGAAAACTAATAATCAGAGCTATAACATAGTAGTGATTGGTGAGATGTTTAAATATTATCTATCTACCTACTGTAACATAATTGTATTTGATTGTTCATATGTTTTTTTAAACTATGACATGCTTTGACGTTTTACCTCATAACTTTTAACCTGTAAGTCCAAATGACGCCCTGTTTGGAGTGTTAGAAAGATAACAATCAGACCCATAGAATAATAGTGATAGGAGAAAGGTTTATATATTATTCATATATTTACTATGTTTGTGGAGTTGATTGTTTATATGTCCAATTGATGAATCAATGTATTATTATGATAGTATCATGTGATAATGATGTTGATATGTTGATGTTGTCATGATAATATTGTTAATGTGTTGATGATGTGGATGTGATATTGATGTGGTATGGAACATGGATATCAAGTTGTGAGAATTATGTGTGTTGTTAAAGTTGTTAAAGATGTGGTATGGAACATGGATATCAAGTTAATTATGTGTGTTGTTAAAGTTGTGAGAATTATGAGTTTGCATATGTGATTTGCTAAAGTTGATGTTGTTGTCGGTTGTAGTAATATTAATTAATGTTGTGTATGATGTATGATGTTTTGAGGATGTTGTTAATAATGTTGTATATCCAAATATATGCATGTTATTTTGATGGTGATTATGTTGTTGATGGCGTACACCGTCAGAAGAAGGGCCAATGTGTATATGTTGTTGTTGCATGTTGAGAGTCCATAAATTCATGTTGTCGGAACATGGTTCTTTTTGGTGAGCCTCGATCCTATGCGGATGGATCGGGTGCGAGTAGCTAATTCCTATTATGGGGGATTAGTGAAGCGTTACCTATGGTGATGGTAGCAATTTAGTGTGCTCCGGTTCCAAGAGGGAATCGATCCTATTGTGGGGTTCATGGAGTGAAATGAACCTGTGTGTTCATAATTTAGTACCACATGTATGTTGAGTCAGTTGTTGGATGCATTGGATTTGAGATTGAATTTGGTGATTTCTTAGATGTTATGTTGTGTGGATGAGAATACTTGATATGCAGATGTGGTTGTATTTTGTGTGTGATGTTGTTAGATTAATCTACTTCTGATTGTCTTTTACCGTTATTATTGAATCATATTCTCACCCTTCTGTTTGAATGTTGCCTTTACATGGGCATCGTGCAGATACTCAGGAGTAGCGTTGCTAAATTAAGTGGAAGATAGCCTTGGAGTTAATTTCATAGTTTATTGCTTTTATTTAGAGGTTCCTTGCTCTGATCATGTAACATCGGGTTGGGATAAATGCTTGATTGGATTTTTGTATTATTGTTGTCGAAGTTACAAACGTTTTTGTGTTGTTGAGATTTTTAAGTTGTTTTGAGTTGATTGT